AGCACACACACACACACACACACACACACACACACATGTATGTATTTCTATACAACAAGTAGTGAATTTCCTTAAAATATTTTCTATAGAAAGATAAGACGGATCTCTCTAAAAGAATTCTTTCTTTTACAATACTCTCTTTAATCGTAATAAATTTCCGATGAAACATTCTTGGCAACTGACAATGATATCGATCTCACTTGAAACAGTCAGAGTCAGAGATATGGAAATCATGTAAAGCGATTCGTGTAAAGTTCAATGCACACAACAATGATTACAGTAAATTTCGCGTAAATTTCCTAAAGGGTGTGCAGAGGCAACGCGAATCCAAAAGGGCTAAGAGGGGTAGGCGTGCGGGGGGGATGCTTTTCAAGTTTCCTCTTGCGAATTATGGTTACGGTGTGTGTCCTGCGCAGCCAACATCAGGACGCCTCGCGACGATCCGTTCGATTCCGTTCGTTCTTTTCACGATTTTATGGTTTCGTGTGTGCTTCGCGACCGTGTCACCTGGCTTTCGTCGGTATTGATCTGCTTTTACCCCGCATTCCATGACGCCCCATCCGTCCCCCCTCCCCCTCCAACGCAACTCTCTGCACCTTCTCACCACCCCCGCATACGATGTGTGCACACACATACACAGACATATCGTACGCCCCCCTGCTGTATAATGGCATCATGGTCTAACAATAAACGTCGGTCCAATCCCGCATATGTACATACTACGGTACACGTAGTTTTAGCGCGCAAAATCGCCCAAATGTTCACTGTTGGTGACATCGATGTACAAAGTGTCTCTTGACGCATATTTTGCTCTGTTCTTTCGCCTACATGTAACACTATGTCTAATAAAATGAATATGACAAAGGATATCAACGGTAGCTTCAAAATGATAAATATGGGAGAAATAAAAGATTATCCAAATAGGGGTGCGTTTGCATCTCTGAAAGAAAAAAATAAAATAAAATAGATACTCGCTTTGTGAAAGATATTTATATTTTAGGAACAACCGAGCTTCTTTTAAACTCGAATTAAACATAACGCATATTTATCACGTTTGAGCTTATCAAACGAAAAATTTAATTCTATTTCACGTGAACGTTATATAATCAATTTTTAATTCATCATAATGTTGTATTGAAATATTATTGAAACACATTTAATATTGTGAGAATTGAAAAGCTACGAAGAAAAATGATATTCAATCATATTTTCGCTGGGATAAGACCGGCGACAAATCTATCAAAAAATCTGCAATCGCGAGTCTGGACCACTTTGTGTAATATACGATGATCGATATTGCGTTATTTGACATCCTCGCCCGAAGGGCAATCTGACATTTTACATGAAAACATGCTGTATATGTCGTGTATGTATTTTATTTCATACACAATCTCTTTGTCGTCACTATGAACGCGTTTATTGTAAAAATCAAAATATCGATACACTGGAAAGCGTATACTTTTTCGAGAGAAGAAAATATTAGCTGACTAAACAGACAGCTATCTTTAACCCTCTAACATATCCAGTTTACACGCGATTACAGAATATTAATCATCATTATAAAGAACATTAATTTAAAAATTTACGTTTACGCATAAAATAAAAATTTATATTACAGAGAGTAGTGTATAAAAATTTAAAATAATCCAGTTATATGTCATGCCCCTTGACTTTTCCATTTCTATCAGTGCAATTATCATTACACTGTTGTATTATTATGTAATATTATTATATAATGTCTAAAAATAATTGTATAAAATTATTATATGATTATAGGATTATTATATAACGTCAAGAGGATTTCTTAGAGGAAAAAGGAAAGAAATCGAGAGAGAGAGAAAGAAAGAGGCAGAGAGCTTTAAGAGAAATTGAAAGAAAGACCAGGTTTTTA